CGGTCAATGTACTACGGTCACGTAATGAATAATTCTAAAATGTCCGTTTGATTCACAACGTGTTCTTCTGTGAAGAAAAACTTCACTAGGAAAGGATATATCTAAATAGTAATTACATTTATGATTTATTATTATTATTTTAGTGTAGGTTTTATATATATAAACATAAAAATTCTAATCCAATAATATTTCAGTCAGATGTTTGCCCTAATAAGTTATTTTTATTTCTTTTCCTTTTTAAAACATTGCCCTTATTTTAGGGTAACATTATCCTGTGTTGTAAGGCAGTTTTACAAACGTAAATTTCACGTGGACTAACACTCAGATGCGGAATAACTATCAAGTAATTGTCCCGTGTGGGAATCGAACCCGCGACCCCCGACGCCGAAGCCAATACCTTGGCAACTGCGCCACGGAGTCATCAAAAGTTACTAGTTCGAAATAATAAGTTATTAATTGCAACAAGTGAAAGTAAAATAAAGAACAATCCGAACATAACCCTCTTTGTAACTGCTATTAGGGCGAAGATATATATTCCAATTAATTACTTAACAGCCTTCATACTCCTCATTCCACAATAGTCACGTCTGATGGATTAGAGCTACAGTTTATAATGTGTTGCTACACACGGCACGACCGTTCGACGCACCGCCGGTTTGTCGTGTTAGCTGACCGCACCGTCCGTAACAATGTTCGTAAGAAATAATAACGTATTTGCTCAAATTATCGCGTTTTTCCTCTGCCCCCGAACCCTAATTTTGTGCGATATTTTGGTGCAAACGACCGCGTCCCGAGGTAGCGTTAGAAGAAAACGCACAGTTAAATATTAAATGATTTATTTTGTTTGTGGACTTGGTTTAAAAGTAGTCCGGCATCCTAAATGTAATAAATGAATGAAATAACGCGCACCTGTGTTGCCAACCTTACATGTTCGATGCATTGTCGCCGTCGCGAATCGGAGCCATCTATCACAATCAAACTTGCGCAACCGGGCGCGGAATATGGAGCGGCCGCCTGGGGAAATCATTTAGATCTTCACGCCTGTTATAGGAGTGCGGAAGAGCAGCGATCGATCGTATGTTGGCCAACGCAATTACAAGCGGTACGGCACCGAGACAGTTACCTAATGGAAACGTTTTATCTTGCCACCAATAAATACGATGCTACTCGTATGCGATCGTACTGCGTGTGACGCTTGTGTGGAAACGCTACTTGCGTCGACCGCTTGATTGCGGCCTCTTTGAACTGTGTTTGCTTTTTAGGGTTCCGTACCCAAAGGGTAAAATGGGACTATTACTAAGGCTCCGCTGTCTGTTTGTCTGTCTGTCTGTCCGTCTGTCACCAGACTGTAGGTATCTCATGAACGGTGATAGTTAGACAGTTGAAATATTCACAGATGATGTATTTCTGTTGCCGCTATAACAACAAATACTAAAAAAACATAATAAAAAAATATTTTAGTGAGGCTCCCATATAATAGACATGATTTTTTTTGCTGTTATAGATAATGGTACGGAAACATTCGTACGCAAGACTGTCTCGAACTTGGCCGGTTTCAAGTTTGTAATAGTACGTTTGTCTGAAAGTATCTGCAATTCATCTATTTTTCATGTGAAAAGTTGGCAAGCGATGGCGATTCACGTTCACAGGGGTAATTTAACCGCTTATTGGGATCTGAAACATCTTTGGGGATGATGCGTAAAGTACCAGGCTATACATGTCCCTCTGCTGGGCAAAGGCCTCCTCTGTACAGAGGGTATCAGGGCATAGTCCGCCACGCGGCCCCACTGCGGATTGGCGGACTTCACATATCTTCGAATATATATATTTTTTATTATTTCGAAAACATGCAGATTCTTAACGATGTTTTCCTTCACCGCATAAGCACGTGATAAGTCAGCGCGTAAAATTAACAATTTCATTGGTGCCGGCATCGGGGAACGGACAAGTTGCTCGAGTATATTGAATTAAAGGCGAGCGCGCCCGGACACTGAGCTATAACGGCTCTAAACTAATGATGATGCGTAACCAACTAAGAAAGAATCCGCCCCTGGCTACCTCACTCAGCAAACGAAACGGAAAAGTTTATTTCCAATTCGTACTGGTCTTCTGCAAGGCTGTGAAATGAAAAAAAAAAGCTGTTAGTTTGCTAATAACGAAGTTTTCTATATTCAAAGTTAGAATTGGTAAAAGGAGCAATGATTTTTCTCCATCACAAGATAATCTATATGGTCAAATTGAGTTAAGAGCAGAGATTGAATAAATGCCAAAGTTGGCGTTTCCTTTGAAATGACTAACACTTATATTTGACTTTAATCGAATATTATTTTATAGTATAGTTTTTTTTTCGAAACGAATTAACATGCGGCGAACGCGATAGTCGTGTAAGGCCGTAAAAATCAAGTGGCTGGTAAAGCGCTATTTGCCTAAGTGTGGCAGTGACACGCAACAGTTTTTGCTTTTTGCACGAATGGGCAGGTCAGTCCGGGTAAATAACACGACCTCACAGAAGACCGGCGTGAAGTTAAAGTGCTATACACCTGGTAAGTGAGGTAGTCGGGGCCCAGTTTATTTCTGCAACCCTCGGGTGTAGCAGATGTCGGTGTTCACTTAACATCAGGTGAACCTTCCGTTCGCTTGCCAACTTTTCCACATTGAAAAAAAGACACAGGAGCTGGTTCTTTTATGCAATTGGAACAGATAGTCCACGGGTCGTAATTAAGAGTCCGCCAACTGGTGCGGGAATATCTTGATTACGGTAACGCGAACACTCTATGTATTCAGAACGCATCGGCCGATTAGCAGGTTGCGCAAGTAGCCACCTGTTTTTCACGGGCGTGTAGTTTAAGAGAACGAATCGGTTTACATTTTACAGACGAACTTGCGTATATAATTAACGAAGCGCCAGAGAACCAGGTTTTTTAAAGCTTGTAGACGGATCAGTAAGCATTTATTATAATATAAATATTAGTTTACGATACAACTTATTTCCTCAACGCAATTGGGGGAATTAATAATATTTAATTAGATTAAACACGCAACGACATTTAATTTAAGTTTTGGGTATTTGCTGTTTCTGATATATATAAACAATCTCCCCAAAATTACAGCTGACCATTGCGTCTTGTTTGCAGACGATATATCAATTTTAATACCGTCTGAAAACAGTGTCCATTTAAGTAATAAGATCACCTCTACATTAGACCGCATTACCGAATGGTTGAGCAAGCACAATTTAGAATTAAACTTCTCAAAAACTAAAATTATGATCTTTCACCCGCGCCAAAAAAACCCGTTAGATTTCAACTTTTTCTACAGAGATATACAACTTGAAGTTCCAAGAGAATTTACATTACTAGGAATAGACATAGATACACACATCAATTGGAAAAAACATACACAAAAAATAAGTAGTAAAATATCGCGTTTCACGTATGCACTTAATGAAATTAAAAAATCTACTGACTTGAAAACTGCCCTTGCAGTATATGCCTATTCTCTTGCATGGCTTAACTACGGATTGATTCTCTGGGGGAATAGCACAGGTGCTCCTGTAATTTTTACTCTACAAAAAAGCTTATAAGAATCCTAGTTAATATAAAGCAAACAGATAGCTGTAAACCCCACTTTAAAAAGCTAAATATACTTACCTTACCAAGTTTATATATATATGAAATATGTAAATTTGTTCGAAAAAATCCTTGGCTTTATCAAAAGCGCAGTGAAATTCCTGTACAATACAACTTACGACATAAAGACAGACTAATGCAACCCACTTCTACGCTACAATTATACTCAACGAGTCCCTATGTAATGACCATCAAGATATATAACAAACTACCGCAAATATTAAAAGACGAAAAAAACGATCAAATTTTCCTAAAAAAATTAAAAGACTTGTTACTTACCAAGTCATACTATGACATAAAAGAATATTTTGGAGATACCTTGGATATAATAGATATAAATAACACATAATGATCTCACATCATAAATATATTAAACAAATTACTCATAATTAATATATAAATTAAAACTAATAAATGTTACTTATAAAAATAAATAGCTACTCAAAATACCAACTACTTATACAAGTACTTCATTAAATTACCTAAGTGATACATCTTGCTCTCTCCGAATTTATGATTTGTTTTGCACTATGCCCTATAAAAAGGATCCATAAATAACTATTTTACTAATTACCCTAACACCTTTTGTTACTTAATGGATGTGCAATAAATAAATAAATAAATAAGTGAAACAGTTTGTGATTGTGTTGATGGTATCACTACAATCAAGAAAATCGTTTTACTAAATTTAACCCAAATTAAATTAAATTTTTCTTCATTACACTAAGTCAATTGCATTTTAAATGATAAGTTAAATATTCATTTTCACTTTTACGTAAGAAAAATAAACGGCAAAGTATAGCTTCTAGTTTTAATGTTTTCTTCTATCGGGCGTAGTGAAGAAAGTTGCATATTTCGAAATAATAACAAACAAAAAACGCAAAGATATATGAAATCCGCCAATCCCCGCAGTTGAGCCGCGTCTTGTTCTATGCCCTAATACCCTCTTTGTCCAGTTTTTTAGACATTTTAAACCCCAATCTGCGGTAAATTCGTAGTGAGGTGAATTTTTGTATACACCTTTATTATGGCGTTTTATGATGATGTGAAAAATACACATTGATATCGTGCCGGCTAAAAAAGTTATGAAGGTCAAAAGTTCACGAAAATCAGTTTTTATTTCTCTCGCGGCCTATTACTCGAGGGTAAATAGAAGTCACTATAAAAATTGTTTGTCGTGAAATTATCTACAAAAAATGCCTCTTGCATTTTTCTGTAAAATTAACCGTTTTCGGAGTAGAGACAATCTGTACAGAGCAGTGGGACATATGTAGGACTTTACTTTCACTGTTGGATCGTTTTAGTCTAGAAAGTAAAGAAGTGTCGTGCACACAAATCTCACATGGAGTCACCTAAATCTGGATTAATAACATGTATCACAATGCTAATAGGTATCCAGTGTAAAAATTTTATTGAACCAACGTCCCACGAAAACAAAGAAAATAGGCTCACGACTGTCCCATCTAAGCAAGTGTCAGATTATTATTTAGCCGGCCACCAAATGAAATCCGATGGACGTAACCCAGTTCTGTTTCCCCAACCGCTCGTCGTTCCGTCCGCAGCTCGGCGAACGCGAAGAAGTGGGAGGTGGAGCTGGCGACCCTCAAGAGCAACAACCTCCGGCTGACCGCCGCCCTGCAGGAGAGCACCGCTAACGTTGACGAGTGGAAGCGGCAGCTGCACCAGTACAGAGAGGAGGTGGCCCGCGCGAGGCACTACGCCGGCAAAGGTAGGCTCTTCCTCATCCGACCCTGTAGTCTCGGGCTCATAGAATAGAGCTGAGGTATCCCTCTATTTTTTGTATCGGGGAAATCTTCAAAAGATCATCTTACATGAAAGGGTTATGTGGGGTTCTTACCCACTAAAACCCCCTCGGTGGCCACCTTCCGTACGTTTGGAGGGACCCCGGGATCTCCTATGGAACGCACCGGTGTCCCTCGGTACTGGGCGTGAGCACGCCTCGGAGAAGGGTAAACCTTCCCCGACTCCCTCGCCATCTTGCAGCAGCCCGAGGCCACTTCGAGCTGCTGCCAATCCGTGTCCCCTTTTAGTCGCCTTTTATTAAGAGAGATTACTATTTATCAAAACAATATACAAGATAAACTGATGTTACGGCTATGAGCAGAGTGTATCGGGTCGTAACAATTATTTTCTAATGTATGATGGACATAGTAGAAAAATAAGCCTGTATATCTAATATTTTCTGGAATAGCATAAAAGTTTAAACCCCGTTTTTAAATCTATATTACTTCTCCATATATTATTCATTTATCTTCATGAGAAATCGATTTCGGAAGACCTCAAGTTGCTAGTGTCTACACTATCGATGCGCCAGAAGCGCCCTGTCGAGTGTCAGCCGGCAGCGGACGGGCAGGCATCGATGAATCGATATTTATAAAATATCAATACCGACCCTATTACTTAAAAAGAAAATATCGATATATCGGTCAAATTTTCAGCCTATGACCACTCAAAAAAACTAAATACCAATCTTCTAATATTTTTACTACCAGTATTTGTCCAGAAGCCGTAGATGTCAAGTATTTAATAACTTCCGGCCAAATATTCTATGCCGGATTCGAATTTGAAAAAAAAAAACGTTTTTATACGATTTTCAATATTTATTATCTTGTATCGATATATTGGATCAAAATATATCGACTTAAATATCGATACTGTTTCGTCATCCCTACATTATAATTCTGTTTTAGCGATGTAGAAAGTTGAAATATATCGATAAATTCTCTTTAGGCCCCGGTGTGCAAAATGGGTAGGCAAATGTAAATAACTTTAACTCTGGCGTAATTCAATTAAGATAAATTTTAAACTATAGAGATAAATCTCTAATGAATTAATCAACAAGCAGAATTCGGCGGTCGCTTATAGTTTTCGAGAAAAAAATATTTAAAACTTGTTATTTTTACTAAGAAATCCACCATTTTATTTGTTTGACTTCAAAAACTCAATACACAGTTCTGCCAACGTGATAAATATAGGAAGCGGGCGACATCATACACGTATCGATAGTCCGATTTTTTTTTTAATTTAATGAGTCACAGAACCGACACAGAACGAATCCGACTTAGGTTAGAAGGTTCAGGCGGGAGCGGAGCCTTAACCTTCGAGGTTAGGTTTTTTTTTATGACCACCACGAAATACGAGCAGAATTGACATATTGACAACAAATAAATGGCGGATTTCTATAGTAAAAATCACATAACGGTGGTAGGGCCACGCAGCAGCCTCGGCTGTTGCACGAATGGGCAGGCCCGTCCGGGTAAGTACCACGACCTCACAGAAGACCGGCGTAAAGTGGAAGTATGACAAATACTTTCGCGTTTCGTCTGGTGAGTGAGGTAGCCGGAGCCCAATTTTCAAAAGGTTGTCAACGCATCTGTAAACCTCGGGTGTGGCAGATGTCCATGGGCGGCGGTATTCACTTAATATCAGGTGAACCGTCTGCTTGTTTGACAACTTTTCGCATTAAAAAAAAAAAAAAAAAAAACACTCATTATTTATTTTTTCGAAAACTATAAGCGACCGCCGAATTCTGCTTGTTGATAAATTCATTAGTGATTTTTGTGTAATAGTGCACAGTGACGATAGGACGTTTTCATAAATACACTTCGTCTTTTTTGTGAAGAGTTACAATGTCTACAAGGCAAAGCAAGGAGTCGAGATTAAGATCGTATTTTGACCGGCGAAATCGGTGTATCAATTGTTCTTTTTTGATACCGAGAAATCAACAAAGACATCGGATAGAACAGGCAGACGTCTGTGGCCGAAGCATGTTTATTATTCGAGTAGACACTCGAATAATAAACTTGCTACGATCATGGATAGCTCCTACGCAGGTAAGCAAGATCCTTGTATGAGGACAGTAAAGTATGATTTTTTGTGTAGTTGTTTTTGTATTTGATTACTGTGAATAATATACAAGATCTGTGAAATTATCTTTCCTTTGACAGCCCCAGAACTATAGTTTGACATTTTTATATAGTTTAATTTGCCTTTTTCAAATGGAAACTAGTGTCAAGTAGAATAATTTACTTATTTGAACATTGATCAAGAACAAACAATTATGAAGGCATGATTACTAATATAAAAATTCCTTTCAGTTTTTTATTGTCTATTAAATAACAAAAATTTAACTTTTGTGCTAGACAGCTAGCTATATGATCTATGTGATATATAACACACTATGAAAACTATGATTACATAAGTAATATAGAACATTTAATTTTTTAGCTGTCATCGGAAAGCATTATTTGTAATGAATGTTTTCAAATACTCACAAATCGAGTAAACACAGTTAGTGAAGATAATGTTTCAACCCCTCCTGAGTTTGGGCATAGGAGTATCTGTTACCCATGTGGAAAGTCTATTTTGCGAACAAAAAGGTACTTAGTACGAGAAAACTGTCAAGAAAAGAGGATTTTCATGAGATTGGTTCCGCTCCACCTGGTAAATGTTTTTGTACTTTACTGATAATATGAAGATATAGTTTTACATTGAATGCCTCGTATGAAAAAACACTTAGTACTTTATTATACTCTTTAGATTTCCAGAATGGAACATGTGTGTGCCGCTTGTTGGAGGTCAGCAAAAAGAGAAATACAAAGGCAACAGTCCCATGATTCCAAACGACCTGATCTGAAAAAAGCTGCACAAAGTATTCCTGAGCCTCCTTCCTCAACTAGGCCGTTAATAGTTTACCCTCTAGTACCAAAAATTATGTCATCGGTACATAGGCGTGGTGAAATTACATCTAGTCGCTATTTGTTATTTGTTTTGAAACTGAATGTTTATCATATCACATTCTTTGAAGAAACTATTTTACAAACTAAACTTCATTCTGTAAAGAAATTGTTGTATCGAATTGTATTGACATGAGTTTTATACACCAAATGGTGCAAATGTTTGTCGATACCACATGGATCATGATTTGTGGAGTGAATTAATCCCACAGTTGTAAGATTTTAGTGGTTTGCAATGTAATATGATAATTAATATACGCCGGAAGCGGCCATTTATCAAATAGATTTTTCTAATATTTTTTAACATGCCATTATGTCAATTTTGACAATTTTTTTCAATTTACTAAACTGTATCCCATCATTAGAAACAGAAGTATCAAATGACACCATAGCTTTGTAGAACTGGTGGCTGAAACAAAAGTTCAGGTTAGCCAGCCTCTTTAATAAATCTCGAACCTTTTATTAACCGTGCATCGCTGGGTTGTTTTTTTTATCTGAAAAGATGCCAAGGAGCAGGCGGTTCACCTGATGTTAAGTGAATACCGCCGCCCATGGACATTGCTACACCCGAGGGTTGCAGGTGCATTGACAACCTTTGGAAATTTGACTGACGAAACGTGAAAGCCTTATACTTCCACCTAGACGCCGGTCTTCTGTGAGGTCGTGGTACTTACCCGGACGAGCCTGCCCATTTGTACAACAGCCAGGCTGCTGCGTGGCCCGTGACCGTATACCTTGTAGATTTAGTCAATGCTCTGCCATTGACTAAATCTAAAAGAAGACAGATATCATATATTTTCGACAAGTCTTTAATAATAATAACCTTGCTATGCATGCACCATTTCAACGGTTTTAGAATTTCTTTTGCTTCATTAAAAAATAAGTTTCATATGGATATAAATGGCCCACTAGAGGCCATATGTGCAAATTGTAAAAAATAGAGTTATGCTAGTTGTTAATTTAACAAGATATGTTGGGCAACAAAAACTTGTCGGAGAGTGATTTTTTAAATGATAGCACCCATCCTCATTTAGAGGCATTTTCAAAAAATCACAATTGATGTTAAACGCCTTGCTCTAGGTACCTATCACTTGAAATAGGCTCATTGTTACTTTGGAGAACATGTTCGTCTCTCTGGGATGTGTGCAATTGAAATAATGCAGTTGATAATGATATTTTAGGTGTCAATAACTACATATTTAGAGTTAGATATTGACATGTAAATAGTCATAATTTTTTAACTTATTTACCTTATTTATTAATAAGAGGATGCTGTAGCAAATAGAGAAGACCGCAGAGTGATGACACTGTGGTGCAGTTTTCAAGGTATTGGCTTCGGCGTCGATGGTCGTGGGTTCGATTTCCACACGGGACAACTATTTGTGTGAAGCACAGATGATTGTTTAGCATCTGGATGTTTGTCCACGTGAAATTTACGTTTTGCAAAACGTCAGGATAATGTTTTAATTTAAAAAAAAAAAGGTCTTCTCTGGTCAGGTTTAGTTTAGTGAATAGGTGGCAGTTTTTTATTGACGTTTAATGGGAGCTTAAATTATGCTTACATTTAATTATGAAATTTTGACTTTGACTTGAACAGGTTAGAAGCCATAATAGGTTATTGTTGCAGCCGTCTTGTCGGTATGGGAACGGTTGTGTGCTGTGTAATGAAATCTTTTGTGCGTCTTCAGGTCGAATCGAGAATGGTTTAGATTCGAAATAACTCAGTGTCCGGGCGCTCGCCTTTAATTCAATATACTCGAGCAACCTGAGTTCGATTCCCGGTGCCGGCACCAATGAAGTTTTTAACTTTAAGTGCTGACTTATCACGTGCTTCGCGGTGAAGGAAAACATCGTGAGGAAACCTGCATATTTTGGAAATAATAACAAAAAAAATATATTTCGAAGATATGTGAAGTCCGCCAACCCGCAGTGGGGCCGCGTGGTGGACTATGCCCTGATACCCTCTCTATAGAGGAGGCCTTTGCCCAGCAGTGGAACATGTATAGGCTGTTACTTTACTTTTTTACTTTTTTTTTTTTTTTTTTTATTTATAAGTTGTCGTCGGATTTAAGTCGCGTGTACAGTACAACATCTGTTGGGTTTAGATTCGAAATTCGTTCTTTTTTTTGGCTTTTATTTATTTATAAGTTGTCGTCGGATTTAAGTCGCGTGTACAATACGTCTGTGGGGTCCGCTAGTACTACATAAGGATTTCGCACTATGGTGGATCGGCGTGGGCGCCATTCTACCTTGGCCCGCTGTGGTTGCAGGCGGTGACGCGAACGAGGTGGAGCAACTGAGGCAGCGCGTGGCACAGCTGGAGGCCGAGCTGGCGCAGAAGAACGAGGAGTTGGCACAAATCACCAAGTCCAAGAAGAGTGAACAGGTACGTTGGTTAGCGTAGCCCATAAGGGTTGCTACACACGTGAGTATTTACTGTGGTAGGGTAAAGAATCACTACTTATCGCTGTAACTTTTTTTCTTAAAAATGATATATGTATTCGTATGTATGTATATGTTTATATGTATGTATTTATGTCTATATGTATGTCTGTACATGTATATTTATCTGTATATATTGTTAGCTTTTTGCAGGTACATATACTAATTAACTATTGTTTGTCTTATTATTATTATTTTTATTTTTCTCTCTTTTATTGTAGTTACGATATTATTTAATTCCTTCATTAAATTAAACCACACCTTTTAATCCTTAATTTATTCCAATCCATCCAAAGGTTGCCTGGAAGAAATTACTTTTAGTAACAAAGGCCGCCCATTGTACCTATCATTTAAACTTTAAGGTATGGTTTTTGTATATTTCATTTTGGTGTGCAATAAAGAATATTATTATTATTAGGGTCACGCGACAGTTCTTTGTTCCCTTTTATTTAAGATCAATAGCATTATTTATTCGTTTGTTTGTTATACTTTTGCCACGTATTTTTAATAAAATATTCTAATCCTCTTTTTGCGAATGGGCAGCTCCGTCCGGGGGAGTACCACGACCTCACGGAAGACCGGCGTTTCGTTTCGTCTGGTTCCCGAACTTTCTACATATATTTGGCCCTTGTTGATTAATACCAGCTCGCTTATGTGTGTAGCAACACTAATGAAATTTGTATAGGGAAGTTGTTGTTTACATTAATATAAGGTTAGGTATATGTGTTGCGTTTTTCTGTATAGACTATTCCTTGGTTGGTTGATACTATAATGGATATACCTACTGCTTTATTGCTAGAGTCGCCTCAGAAGAATATTCTCTAGTCCCAAACTAAGCAACTCTTGCGTTAATTGATTAACATACTTAAACATACTTTTGTTTTGGAAACAAAAACATAACATACATATATAAACAACCGGACACGGGAAAAACTATGCTCATCGCACAATGTTCTTAAGTTGTTCATAATTTATTTAAAAATAAATTTCTGTTAAATGGCTTTTGTCCACTTATCGTTCCCTTCTGTTTATATTGTATATATAAATATATATGCACTTATTCATATATATATATATATATATATATTATTTATTTATATGTGTATAGTAGTGTTGTGTACATGTATCTATAATATCTATATTTACAATAGCGTATACCTCAAACCCTTCTCACTGATCATTGTATCCTCAGCAACATGGTTGCCTGGAAGAAATCGCTTCTAAGCGATAAGGCCGCCAATTGTACCTTTATGTAATTGTTTGTTACTTTTGTAAATTTGTCTAGTGTACAATAAAGCGTATTTCATTTCATTAAACCAAAAGTGTCAGCTATGTCATTATTACAGGACGCGGAGGCGAAACTGGCCCAGAGCCAGTTGGAACTGGCGCTGGCAGCGCAGGACGGGCAGCGGCAGGTGATACAGGCGCTGAACGACCAGTTGGCGCGCCAGCTCGACGAGCTGGTAAGATATCCCTCGACTTTAGACCTTGTCACGGTCGCATTACGCTGAAATTTCAGTAACCACACGTGCATGAGTCATAGACACCATAATGTCAAAGAGACATACATTGCTTCCTGTGTTTTGTATTGAGCTGGTAAGATATCCCTCGACTTTAGACCTTGTCACGGTCGCATAACGCTGAAATTTGACAACCACACGTGTGTCAGTCATGGACAACGTCGCATGTAGAAGTATCCTTCTTGGCTTGCTGCCTAGAGTCATAGACACCATAATGTCAAAGAGACATACATTGCTTCCTGTGTTTTGTATTGAGCTGGTAAGATATCCCTCGACTTTAGACCTTGTCACGGTCGCATTACGCTGAAATTTCAGTAACCACACGTGCATGAGTCATAGACACCATAATGTCAAAGAGACATACATTGCTTCCTGTGTTTTGTATTGAGCTGGTAAGATATCCCTCGACTTTAGACCTTGTCACGGTCGCATAACGCTGAAATTTGACAACCACACGTGTGTCAGTCATGGACAACGTCGCATGTAGAAGTATCCTTCTTGGCTTGTTGCCTAGATGTTGCCTGATGTAGTTGATGTTCATATTATTATATCTCTATCCAATATAGCAGCGTTATAGTTGCTTATTGATTGTCAAAACACTACCTACCACCCTCGTGGTAAAGAATTGCAACCTAAGAAGAACTACATATTTTAATCTAAGTGTAATAAATTCTCATTCCACAAAGACACAAAATGGAATTGCATATTCATCCTCCAAATAGTCAACAGTAATGGGTAAAGATTGCGGGGCATTTATATCTGTCGAAGACTACTTTTTACCTACTATACTTTGATTGGTTCACGTGATACTTTGATGGGGTCACGTGACAGCTATTTTTCCAAAGCTGTGGGTAAACACGTCCGGGCTACCGCGACCAAACAGGAAAGCGAGTTGAACGGCGCACTTTTAAAGGTTGGCAACGCGTCGTCAGCCTCATGCGTCGTGAATCCGTCCATATTTGTTAACGTCGGGTGCACCGGCATATCGCCCGCCACTCTATCACACAAAGAAGCTGGTCAAACGCGACATGCTCGTACGCAGACGAGCATCCACCGCGAGATCAACGCCGCGCTGCAGACATGAGGGGCGGGGGGGGCCGCGCAGCCCATCTACGCGGCCGTCGCCAAGGAGCGGGCCCGCGCCCCCCTCCCGCTGCTGCTGCGCGCGCCCCTGCCGCTGCCCCCGCCCCCCGGCGCCCCCCATCCCGCAAACGCCCCCCACGCCGCAAACGCCCCCCACGCCGCAAACGCCCCTCACGCCGTAAACGCCCCCGGCGCCGCCAACGCCCCCCAAGCCGCGAACGCACCCGGCGCCCCCAACGCGGAGCCCGCCTACGTCACCGTCAAGGCGAAGAAGTGAAGGCTGCTCTCGGTATTTCGCAAGGTGCACGAGCTCTTCTGATCTCCCTCCCACCCTCTATCGCTCTCTCGCTTTCTCCGTCCTCCTCGCTCACACGTCACGTCTCGCTCGCTCCCTCCGATGGAACATCTATGTCACCGTCAGAGCGAAGAAGTGAAGGCTGCTCTCCTTTCCCTCCCACCCTCTGTTGCTCTCTCGCTCACTCATCCCGTCGCTCTCTCTCCTATGGAATAGCGCCCGCGGTTGCGGTTTCTCCGATTCGATAGTGACGTGCGTTATAACATGTTTGACGGATTATCGTTGGTTCTAGTTTTGTGAATCGATATTACGCCATGTATTAGTGATTGGATACTTTAATACCTGTTTTGAAATCACTCGAATATTTTGATTATATTTTATCGTATCAAATTTGGATTGTGTAAATTAAAGAAAGATTCGCTCGACATTAGTTTATATAGACTGTTCATTTGCTATAGTGTTTTCACGGAGAAAGATTAAATTCCTTAACTACAATCTATTATAAATTCCGTTTTATATCTTATATACAAGACATTGTATATTATATTCTATATGAATGCTTCTTTATGTTTTTAGCGTTTCTCCGGTTAAAGTATTGAATAAGTCCAATAGATGCCGCATGATTACAACTTTGTTCCGTTGTGAAATAACCAAGTTTAATATAATTGTCTTCTTTAAGAACATTGCGATCACATGGACACATTAATTTGAAATAGTGTTGAGACACGTCAAACATCGCCTTCGTTATCGATGAAATTGAAAAAGGATAATAAATATCAGAATGCTAGTTGAAAAGGATAATAAAAGTTGAAACAAATCAATGATTAAATGATTGTAATAACTTTAAACATATGTATTTGCATTACCACATAAGTGATTTAGAATCGAAATATAAGACCAAATCAAGTTTTGTCGATAAGTACGGTCGATTTAAATACATAGATGACATATAATAAGAAATTCAGAATTCTTTTGAATCCATTATAACCTGGTCCATTGTTGCCATAACTTGATTTTTGTCGCCAAGGGTCTAGTTACCATCGTAAATGCTAATACTGGCATTGAATCAAATTGTTGATAATTTGCCATCTATGCGGAGTCTATTGGGTCTATTAGCGGACAATAACGTGGGATTATGATGTTGAATCATTATTTTTTCTCTCTTTCTTTCCTTTTACCGACGAGGCTAACCACCGAGATATTTCGATTATGTTTATATTATTTAAGGAGACAACCAGTGTATTTTATTGTAATTTTAGTAACGAAATGTGTAATGTTATTTTCTTTGTATTTACAATCTCTCTATTGTTCTTATCTTCTATTTTATGTTTTCGAATATGTTTCTATTTAGATTTGAACTGTTTAAATCAGTGGAGAAGGCGTTTTTTAATTAACTAATTTTATTTGTTTTAAGTATAACGTAATTAGCATTTATCGATATGCCACGACTACATCAATAAAATTATTCAATATTACTGAGTATATTTATAAAAAAATGGCGACGATTGTGTTAAATGTTTTATGTGTTATTTATAACTATTTATATTATTCGTGTAATAATTATCATGTATAGAGCCGACTGAAATAACTTCGATATATGATTTAACTGAGTAAAATGGAACCTTCTCATCCCCTTTGACTGTATTGTCTATGGATTGTTCGATGTATTAAACGGTGCCAGCGAAACTATTTTTTACCGTAAAGTCTGGAGGGTAGAGGTAAGGAGATTTGTTTCATAAAATAACTACAACTACTTTCCAGTTTTTAGCAATAAATAACAGTTCTAAATCCCTCCAGGATGGCGCTAGAGTAGCAAGAGGGTTTGATTATCTAATCACCTTGTTGACTTGAATTTTAGTAGCTAGTATAGCGTCTATTAGTCGACCATCGTTACATAACACCCACATTCTACTGTAGCACCAACAATTAAACGCCAATCGAAGGTAATTTTATGTACACAAAAAATGTTCTTACCACCCCCTCCATGCCGTAAACTAGTCCCTTCAAGTTAAAGTTGTATTTAAGTAATTATTCAAACACCTGGTCGTGTCAGTGAAGATTTGAGTTATATTTTCCGTTTAAATTCGGTGCTACTGAGAGTTTCGACCAGTGTAAGGTTGTAATGGCAATCAATGGGAGAGTATTAAGTCTCGATCGGAGATAACGTTTAGTTGAAATGTCCAGTATTCACGCGAAAAATCCGTAATATGGATGGATAAAAAAGCAGTTAACTATTGTCCAGTTACGAAGGCTGCCTTTAGACGAAGATAAAAGTTTGAGAACTGTCTTTGATTGGAGAAAACTATCCGTACGGTGAATTAACATTGATTCGTAACCCTCGCTAGATACTCTTTAACCACAACCCTTAAGATTATTCAGTTAGGCCGCTTGCACTGTGAAATACCGATTTTCCAACCAAGCTTCTAGAATTTTCGGAGCTCCAAAATGTAGTTTAATCCTAAGTCTGGATAGGTTATCGATTCTATGAGATGTTTCGAAGAGAGTGTTAGCACATGTTTCGTGTGGTCGTGGATTCGATTCCTGCGTTGGAAAGTTTGTTGACGTAAAGAGTTTGGTTGAGTGTGTTATGTATTTTCATCTAAAATGTCTCTACCAGTCGGTAAGAATTTTAACTAATTATGTTTGTATATATTACAAATAAGGATCTAATGAAGATATCTAATGTTTAACTATTGGATAATAAATCTAATTAAGGTTCTACTCTAAACCTTTCTCGTTAATAATTATCTTACGTTAATATAAAATTAATGTTGAATAAATAATAATAATTTCTCGAATCTTCCTAATTCGGCCCGAGAGTACGCGGGAATACATTTATCGTATTAAGGTATTGCCCTCTCTTTCACTCCGCAGTCCGAAACGTTTCCTGTCTCGCTCTGGATACACGTCGGTGTACAATCGCGGACAACGTTGTTATTCGGATTTTTGGACATGTTTCCTTTTCGGTTGTCAAGCGACTACCAAACTTTTCTACTCGACGATATGCGACAAATTTGTCTTGTTTTTTATTTGAGTGTCGTTTCTATGGTAATGTGTCCAATATTAAATTTCCCATCGTACTTCAAATCTGAACCGTCGTGTGAAGTTGTTACAGTTCAATTTCCTTTAAACGCAATTAAGAATGCAAAGTTCTCTAATACTTAACGTCAGTTACGACGATTGCATTTAAGTATCGATAGGGAACCAGATAAACTATACTTGTAGTGAGAAATAATTATTCAATCGCATAACGTAACGTAACTAAAACTGAACGTATAAATTTACAGTTTTTGCTTGCAGTATTGAAATGCACCGTGTCATTAATAACGCCACAAATATAAACTGTTTTTATTGATATCGGGGAAATTAACGAAGTCGAGATATATGCTTACACTCTCTAATCGAAACCCTAAACGTTGTATCGAAATTTAAACGGTGGATTAATTTTAACACTAGTTAATTAGTCGAAGCAGTTTAGTGGAGTGAAAAATCAACGGATCACGTTGATGAAGTTCGGATGTAAGATAATAAATCATAATCGTAGAGACCTAATCGTAAATTAACTATTAAATTAACTATAAAAAATGTTATGTGACTAGACACTAAATCCCTCGAAAAGTTCTAACTGTATCAAGCATTACCTTCAGTACCTCTACGATTATCGTTCCGTTGTCGTAGGAAAATCAGCTTTATTCGTTTGTATTTTAGATTTAAGTTTCGCTCGTTCGTGTATATTCTACACGGTTGGTTCGTGGCGTTGTTAGATAGTACTAATGTAAATTACCATTCCTAGTCGATAAGTTTAATGCCAGAGTGGATGCAGGTCCGATCTGTTGACGCCCGCTTTATCTATATATTCTGTTTGTTTCTCGTTTCAAACCCTGTAAAGCATAGAACCCTTAGCAACTTAGCCGAGCGGCCCAACGGGCGAAGGGAACCCACAGTAAGGTCGATATTATATCCTTACCAACAAGACAATTTAATGTTGCTTTAATCCTCTCTTTACAGAGGAGGCCTTTGCCCAGCAGTGGGACATTTATAGGCTGTTAATTTACTTTTACACTTTAATAATAAATGCGAAAGTATCACCGGTTTGTTCGAAAGTCATCGCAACGGAAGGATCTAAGCTGGATCGAAACGTTGAGTACTTGAATTTTGATTAACTATTTAATTTTTCTTAAACGTTGATGTTTCGCGGGAAAAGTCGCGGCTGACACACAGATTCCCTTTGCCGGTTGGGTTGCCGGAAATTAAAAAAAAAAAAAGAGAATAAAATAAAAATAATGTAAACACAATGAAAACGAGCGATATCATTGCAAAAGGCTGAGGACACAATTTTTAAGATATACAATGTCTTCTAAACAGGGTAATTTCGTTTACTGTTGTGTACTTTTTCGACATAGTGATTGTTATTCGATTTTTACTCTTATCTACTGGGGGACAAAGTACATTTCGCCGCGCGACGGTCGACTTCTGTATAACTCGAGCATACTAGTTGTTGTTGTTGAGATTGATTATGATTTGAATTTTGAATAGATTTTAATATGCGGACAGGTTTTCTTCATTTTGTTAGTCGAATTGATATTATATAGAAGATCTAGCCAATCAGATGAATATAGATGATCACAGTATTTATTTGTACATGTTGTATATTCGTGGTCACGCATTATTATATATTGTAGTTGCATAGATGCGAACAACTCCACCAATTGTGTAATATAGAGACTAGTTAAATGTATAGATAAGTGTTGACTCTTCGGACTCCGGGCGAAGACAGAGCCCGACGGTGTTTATTGTATTCCGATGTGGAGATGTTATGTGTAATATTAGAGTCGTTACTGTATTTAAGAGGTGTATGTTGTAGTCGATGAATGTGATCCGGCTGGGGGATGACATTTTTGTGTGTCGAAATATATCTGGTGATACATGTCGAGATATGTTGAGATATTGTGAGATATGTCGATATAATATGAGACATG